CATGTAATGAACATTATATGTACATTAAATTTTGTAGGCACATATTCGGATATATTTTGTATTCGTGTATTTATTGTGAAGTTCTTTTTTTTTTTTTTTTTTTTAAATAGAAAATCGCACAATGAAATATCAGAGATTTTGTATATATGCAATGATGATTCTACACAAGTTTCCTATAATTTTCAATATGAGATTTCATATATAAAAAACGATATACTTATGTTATTCTATTGTGTATTTGTTCATGTGTTAGTGATTTATAGCGTGGAATCTCATTGAAATGGAACATGTGAATTATTACGAAAAGATTATATTGGTGACTTAAAGTTTTCAAAGAATGCTTTAAGTCTTATATAGAAGCCATATATTGCGAAGAGAAAAGAAATTAGAATTAAGAATTTTATAGTATCCTAATTATAGAGAACTTTTCTCTTGTCTCTCTGATGATAATTTTTATATTCATAAATTACTGTGCAATATATAATCCAGATGAAATGTAAATGCATGTATCCATTTGTAGTATAAGTGTATAAAATTTAAATGGTTATAACATTTAACGTTCTTCCAAAGTTAATAATTCAAGATTCTTGTAATTTAGATTTTCTGTTTTTCACAATTTCGTTTAACACCAATGTTATACATTGCACGCAATTACAAGCAGTCTTTATATGTATAGTTAGATTACATATAGACGTAATTTATCACTTGTTATCTTTTACGTGCAATTAAATGAAAGACATTTATCTTGTTTCCGTATATAAATACTCAATAATATTGTATAATAAATTAATAAAGATTATGTATATTAGTCTTTTATAAAAGTACAATAGATGTTTTTACATTTTATCTTAATCTTTACATTTTTCAGGCGGATGAAATTCTTTCCTAAACAATTACATGTGTGATTGTTCTTATATTTTAATACTTAAAACTTTTAGAAAACTCACTTGGTTTGTTATTTCTCTACATTACAAATATAATTTAATGAGTTCGTCACTGACAGCCGATGGTGTTAAAATTCCTAAATCTGTGAACAATAGGCTGATGTAATGAGGCGGAGTATAATCTACTAGGGGATGTTCTTTCTTCAGATTTTTATGTAAGGTACTAGATGTGTACTAAAAAGCAATATTTTTTAGTAGAAACTTTTTTTTATAAAGATTATATCATTTGATTTTAAGTCATAAATAAATATGTAATTTACCTTAAATTCGTTAGGTAAATCTATTTGATTCAAAGGATAAATCCTTGAAAATTTGAAACTTTCTGTCAGAACATAAAATGATTTCTTCACTTCTTTTGCACACATAGCCATTGTATATGTACCTATCTATAAAAGAATTAGAAGAAACACTTTTAAGTTATAAAAAATTTAAGTTATAAAAAATTGTACATCGCCATCGAATTATCATATACCTTGTTGATTACACCACCACTTTCTGCAACACCTTCTGCTCCAACCATCACCATATCCACTTGTTCCATTACATATCCTACTGCAGAATCCAGTATCACTGTACATGATATTCCTAATTTTGTTAAGCTCTGGCACATCTCCTCTCTGTTCAATAACAGAACAATACATAAATTGAAATTTATAATTGTAGGAATTCGAATTTTTATTACTTCAAATTTTATATCTACCCGCTATTGTCAGGCGACGATGACGTGACGTATACTTCGAATATTTTATTATTCGCAGCAGCTTCCTTCATTGCTTGCAGCACTACTCTTGATTTAGAATGCGTGAGTATAATCTAATAAAAAAATAACGGTGAAAGTCACAAAATAATTGAAATATTTCAATTCTATTTCTATATCTATTCTATACTTATATATCTATTCTTACTGAGCCATCGGTAATAAAGTTCGCTGCTACTTTAGCTACTTTTCCTCGCGCTGCAACTAATTTCTCGTAGAATACTTTGCCTCTTTCCAACATGATCCCTTTACATTCTGCAATTGACTAATTAACAAAACATCAAATTATATAGTTTCAATATAAAATTCCAATATAAAATTCAATTTCAAATGATGAATTTATCTTCAAAAATATTAAATAAAGATTTGACAGTGCACAGTGCATAATTAACAGTAACAGTTAGTTCTTACGGGTGTATCCAATGTTGCTAATGTGATAAAACGAAGAAATAATTCACTTCCAGAGGCAATTGCGGTAGCTGGAGTTTCTGTGGAGCGCATAGCATCAATTGCATGTTGAAGGCAAATCCGAAGTTCCTGAACTGTCTCTGCTGTAAAAACAAGAGAAATAGTTCTATAGAAACATCATGATTCTTAATGTTTTAATGTAATATCTAAAAAAAATATATTTAATATAATCATGTATAGATATAAATATTAAAAAAAATTGTATAAATATTTTTGTATAAATATATATATAACATATATATATATATATATATATATATATATATATATATATTAAAAAATCAATATTTAAAAATATAATGCACATTTATGCCAAGTCACATTTATGAGCATATCATTGGTACTTACATTTTGAGTATTTCAATACATTTAATAAGGTACGAATGGCAGCCATACCAGCAGAAACATCCTTCTCATTTTTGATAATACTATTGAAGTACTGACAAATTTCTGCGAAATTTATTAAACAATTATTTCGGACTCTGCCTTGACAAGATTCCCTTTATTTTATTAAATATGCTATTGCAATATAAACGTTTTGTATACAATTTGTTTTACAAACCTTCTCTATCCATTATGATCCGTTATTTCCACATACAATTAATGTTAATAATTAATACAGATACAATACTGTTTAATTTAACATCAATATTGCATAAGGCAGGACACGTTATGACACTAGCCTTGGAACGTGAAAGGATCAGCTTGCGTGTAATTCACACTATATGGATGTCGATCTATGAAATTCCAATGTCCCATAGACTACGTTCAAAAAGATTTTGTTTAGAAACTGAACTTTTCAATTGGAATCGTGCAACAAACGCAGCGTAATTAGTCGTGATGTAAATCCTCTATAAGAAAATTCTCTAACCTAACCTTTTATCTCAACATAACCTTATCACTCACAAAATAGTGAAATCGATGTCTGTCGATGTTTTAACTTCGTCATCAGTTGTCACTAAAATTCACGCGATTGTCAAAAGCATCAAGACGCTCGTTGTGTTTTATGATTTAGATTCTAATTAGGAACGATACGATGGAAGAAAAATCGGGTAAAGTCAAAGGAATCGATGTCAACGACATCGACGTTGAGTCAAAGGTAGGTGAACAAGAGTGGCTTGCTTAAATTTAAAATATTCCAATCTGTTTTGTAATTCTATATGAGATACATTGAATTGCAGGCAATGCTAAAGAAAAACTGCAAATGAAATCGGAAGCGCTTATGTTGCTGAGCCAGAAGATGGATCAATGTAGGACACAACGAGATCAATTCAAGCTGATGGCCGAACAAATTCAGGAAAGATTTTTGCATTTGAAGAAGCAAATATGTGATACGAAAGAATTGAATAGGTATCTGATTCAATAGCTACAACATTATAAAATGATTTAACAATGTTTTACAGTTTCATAAATTGTGTTCTATAATCTTTTCTAATTTTCTAATTAACTCTTTTCGAACAATAAATATTTTTGCAGATATGGTTTAGATGATGATTTTAGAACTTTAGACCTATTAGCAGAAGCGCGAGAACAAAATAAGTGCCTTAAACTGCAAGTTGAAACACTAAGACAAAAATTAACTGATGCTGAAGGCGATATCAAAGCATTACGTATGAATAATAATCGTACAGTTGAACAGCCAGATACTCAAGTAGCACCAGCTATGCATCAAAGGGAAGAAATGATAGAGCAATTAGAGAAGCTAAATTTGAAGGTGAGTATTAGATAAGAAAAAACAAACACTTATTTTTCTCTTATAAGTTAATAACTTCTTGAATTGAATTTTATATTTTAATGCTATTATTTAATAAGATTAATTTTTGTGATAGTGTTCACAGTTGCAAACAGATTTACAGACAGTATTGGATGAGAAACATGAATTAGAAATGGAAAGGGATGCCTTCAAGTGTAAAGCACATCGTTTGAATCATGAATTATCTAAGGCTTTGAACGCTACCAAACCAGTTGATTTGGATGCTCTTATCAATGAAAACAGGTAATCTATAATGTGCAAAATTAAAGTTAAAATCTAAATATTTGATTTTTTAACATAAATATTTTAGATATTTGCAAGAGAGACAGCAACAATTGCTTGAGGAAAAGGAACTTGCACGTCAATCTCTATCAAAGTATAAGGTAGATTTATAAAACGAATAAAAACCTTATTATATGTGTATCTTTTAATTTATAACTGTTTTTGACATTAGGTAATTAATTTTTTCTAGAGTATGCTGGATAGTAAAAGAGCCAAAGGAGCTATCAAGTTAGGAGCCAATTCTGCAGCTGGAACAATAATGACTCACAAACAAGGTAAAAAATATATAAAGATTTATAAATTTTTTATACGGAGAATTATAACACAAAATTATAATATGAATAAATGATCTTTTTTATATAATATGTTTTATTTGTTTAGTCGAACAGCTTCTGCAAGAAAGTTCTTACATACCACCCCAGAAATCTGCTGCCGCTGTTACCGATCTACGATGTCTTTGTACTGCCTTACTAGAGGCTTTAAATGACAAAACTTTAGCTCTGGCGCATCAAAAAAAAGCGAACAAGTAAATACTTCAACATTAGTTGTATTTATATATTTGCATTTTCCTTAATTAAATTGCTTATATTATTTGTAGAATATTGGCATTGAGAATTTGCGAATTGGATAGTGCAATACAGTCACCAACGACGAAGCTCTTGGAAGGATACACAAGCGCCAATGTTGATTTGAGATGTATGTAATCAGATAGTTGCAATCATTGCTATCACTCACACTATTATAGATTTATTTTAAATCAACGTCATATTTATTCTTTACAGGTGATAGTGATTTTAATGATTTAGATATGACTAACGCTAGTACAGATAATATCGAGGAGAATAGTATTATAACAAATGAAAATAATGTGCAATGTAGCTCTTCACCCGAAAGTCAAGTTATGCAACAACTACAATCGATACAGATGAGTCTTCCAAAGAATTTAGGAGTATTGGTTCAAAAAGCATTGAATAATTTGAAAGATAACGATAAGCAAAAGATACGAAATTTTTTTTAAAAATATATATTACAAAAAATATACATATATGTGCCTGTATGTACACATATAATGTGTATATGAAAAGTAAAAGATAAAGTATTCTAATCCAGAATCTACAATAGGTATAGTAAGTTTTATATTGTACAAGCTACATTTTCCAGCAAAAATTTCTTGAGCTATTTTAAGTTACAACTCCTAAGTTTTAAAAGTTGGTCTAGAGAGTTGATCAAGATCTAAATTATAAAGTTTAAAGTTTAGAAAGTGTAGAAAACATCTTTTTTAGAAATTACTTAACTTAGAGCATAAAGTTTAAGACTTATTACCTATTGTAGAATAATATAGGAATAATATACAGTACTCTTATGCTCCATTAGACAATTATCCATTAATCTTTAAAAAAAATCTAGTCTTTATTATTTATATATGTTTATAAAATAACAAATTGATAATTGGTTTATTATAAGCTAACAATATAAAGTGGTATATTTTTTTATTAAATCAGTATTTAATATACAGTAACTTGAAAGAGTTTAGGGATAATTTCACACAGAACGAAAAGAAAAAACAATTCAATGTAATATCTGTTAATTGGTTTGACATATCATTTATATATAGCACATGACTGCTGCACCGTAATATGTAGGTTGATAGTAGAATGATCGTACTAAATGACGACATTCTCGCAAATATTTTTTATGCAAAACATTGTCTAATTGATCTAACCACGAGTCAAATTCTAGATTTCATTCTAGATTTTTCTGTGAGCGTTATCGATGGCCTCCCCAATCTTTTTAGTTGATGATACGGTGCATTTTCCCTATGAATATGTACATATATTGTTATTGCTAAATATAGAATTGCATTCCAAACGTATAACATATATTCGCATTTATCGTTAACTACATTATTGTTAACTGCGACTCTTTTAGCTTCATATCTTTCCGTTTTTTCCAAGCATTGAACACTTGATCATTAATAATGCGTATCTCGTATTTGTTGCGATTTTTCCATATTTATTTGTTGAATTATTTGTAGATGTTTATTTAATTTCTTTTTTGTTGGATTTCTTTTTCTTTTACCTGCTTATATACCTGAAGCATTAGAAATATCTAATTTGATAATTAATAATTTTTTATATAAAAATAGAAATATATTTACCTTCCGAGAAGCTTTTTTATATTCGATATTCTTTATTTATTTATTTTGTAATTGTTACTGTTCTTTTTCTTCAATTTCTTTTAATAATTTTCTATAAATAAGATTTTTTTTGTTCTTCCAAGATTCAAAAGACAATTTTTTCCTTTCCCGATTTGATCAATTTTCTGAATGATAAAAGATTTTCTAAATTCTTTTTTTACATATTGAATATTTATAATTCTATAGAAATTATATATATAACCTTTCATTTCGTTTCCTATTTTCGCAATCATTAATGTTACTTTCGAATTTTATTCTAATATTCATTATCTACATTGAACTACATACATTTGTCTGTGAATATAAGAAGAAATTCACATTATTCATTAAGTAAAATGATTTTATTTTCTTAATATATGCTAGGCAAAATAATTGGTAATTTATTGTAATAAAATAAAATAGAATGGGTAAAAAATAATATTATTTCAACTGATTTGTTGCACGTAATATCTCGCGCAGATTTGTTATATTCCGTTATTTTGATATCAGGATGTTTTTTCAAATATTTTATTTTGTTCGAAGTATCCATTAAGTTATCTCTATTTGAAATATTTTCTTGTTAAATTGCTTATAGAACTTGATATTTCCTATGAATATATCATTCTTATTAATCTTTGATATTATTTTATATATAAGTTTTTTACAAACCTGACTCTTTCGATTAGCTTTTATATTTTCTGTTTGATTTGTTTTGTCATCTAATTCTGTTATTTTCTTGAGATATCATTCTTCGTAAATGACTTGATACTTTGTTATTTGATCTAAATAATAATATTGTATAAATATCAACATAATACATTATGTAGAAATAACTAATCGGAATCTTCGAGTGCTGTATTAATCATTCGTTTTACAATATTTCTCAAATTTTCAACGGAAAGACTTTTTACTTTAAATTTGGCGAAGGAGCTTGCAGCCATGCTTTTAATTTTGATTTTATATTTTGACTTTTTAAAAATTTTTTATAATTTCTGTATAAAACACTATAAATTAAAAATTTCATTGTCCTGTCATTAATTTGACAGGATGTGCGCATTCTTCCGTTCGCACGTGCTATTAATTTCATTTCTTTTAGCTCTTTCATTTCTTTCTTTTTTTTAAATATTTATAATTTGTTTTTAAACAAGATTTGTTTAAAAATGTACAATGATTATTTATAAATTTATGTTATTCAATGAATATACATATAATCACATTAGTTCCACAAAAACATGGATGTCTTAGATATTTCTATTAAAGAATACACCTGTATATTTATAAATGCATTATAAATATTATAAAACGTTTCATGAAATAACAAACACACACATTTAGGATGTGTTACATATATTAACATTTTAAAATCGTAAATATTTTATTATGATTGAACAAAGTATGTTCTTAAACGAAATCTATTACTTAACACACTCTCTGAATTGTAAAAGAAAAAAAGGCATATTTTATATAAATTCGCAGTATCAAAACATCTTGGCACGATAACACGATCGACATATCAAATTGAAAAATTTCTTCAAGTGCTTTTTTAACATAAAATTACTAAAAGTAGATTAAAACAAATCGAAATATTTCAAATCATTTTCTCTTCAAAGTTTTATATTCAGTTTCACAGAAATGAATACATTCCAATATATTTTAATTCACCTATTTGTTATAAAAAATAAATAAAAATTAATTTAACATTAATACAAAGTGACCGATATTTTTTTCTGTTTTTGACGGAATATACGATCAATATATGTTTATGTACGCATGTGTACATGTTATTTTTCACGTAAATACATCTTGATCCAATGATCACTTCACATTATTTTTAATCCAATCGAGGTATTCGGAAACACGCGTGTACACGCCAGGATAACCGGGCTCACCGCACTTGTTGCCGAATGAAACAATGCCAATTTGCGTCCATCGACCTTCGACTCGTAACATCAATGGTCCACCCGAATCACCTTGACACGCGTCCTTGCCGCCCTGACTATAGCCGGCACACAAAAAGTTGCTGGTAATCGGCTGAAAGTAAGCCGCATTGCAGTCCTCGTTCCTCCACACCGGCAGAATCGCCTGTCGTTGAACGGTGCTCTCTTTTCCACCTGTTACATCATTGTTACATTTAATTATTACATTCAATTAAAAATACGTACTGATAAAAAGGGAGACAAAGTTATCCGATTAAAAATTGAAAATTTAAAAGATTAATTCTGAACTAATTTGAATCTTTTATAAAGTACATATTAAATCTTTTCTTATTTCTTTATTCTCGTCTAAATCCTATTTAAATTTCATATATATCAACCGGGATCAATATTCGACACTTTGATCCCGAGACTCGATAAGACGTGAGAATTTAAATTACAGAATGTCAGAGATATAATTACGTTGTGGTATTAATTACCATAGTAAGTAGTGCCCCAGCCGACTACCGTTGGTCTGGCGCCGGCGAAAGGTTCTCCACGGAACCGAGCCTGCGGCAAGCAAATGGGTATCACGTACGGAGACTTTCTTACTGGTCTCGTGAGCTCGAGAACCGCGATGTCGTTATAAAAACCGACGCGCGAAAACTTCGGATGCGCATGAATCTCCTTCACCGCGTAGGTCTCTGGCGATGATGGCTCGTCGTCTCTCTCCAGGTCGATGTCACCGAGGCGCACGGTGAACTGACGAGCGGCGAAGCTGCGATCCATCAAGGGATGTTATTAAACAAAATATTTTTGTATATTTTTTATTTGTACATTCAATTCCGACGCTTACACAATGTCCCTTCGTTTAGATTGGAAAAGAAAAGAGTTCCTTGCATGTTATTTTTAATTAATGAGTTACTCACGGCCGCTGTCGTTGATCTCGCGTGCAATGAGCAGCGGTAAGGATATGGCGTGGTCCTATTAACGAGCCTCCGCACCAAAATTCCGTTCTTCGAGAACCATGAAGAAAAATCGCCGCCATCCAGGGCCAACGACCGGGCAACGCTTCTTCACCTCCGACTACTCGATATTTACCCGAATTTCTCACCCCACATTCTAGACAAATCAATATTTTTTGTTTTCAAGCAGATTTTTCAAAATTTCTTATCTATCTACGTATATAAATACATTGGCAATAAGTTTAAATAGCTGATAAAGAATATAAATAATATTAAAGAATAAAATTTTCTCTCGGTCAGATCTGTTATTTTTTTAATATGTTATATATGAAAGATTTGTTGAAGTACCCTCGTCGTCTTGAATAAAATTGTTGTCGATCGTTCCTATCGTTTCGAAGCTATTCGTATTATTGATCAACAATTCCGGCGATGGAACAGGATGCGTCGTAGGTCTCGACGTCGAGGACGTCACCGGATATAGCGGTATTGGGCGTGGTGTTGGGGCTTTCGTAGGTCGAACAGGCGGTCGTTGAGGATAATCAGTCCCGGAGGATGCACCTCCAGTTGTGCTGCAATATTTAATTATCTCTTACACGATTAAAAGAATATTTTTCAGAAACTTTGTTAAAATACGCGAAACGGTTGATCGAATGAAAAACAATAGGAATTGAATGAGGAACTTACACAGAACTGATTTTGTCCACCGGACAACAAACTCCTGGCACGAATAGACTTTTGAAGCACAACGAATGCCTCAGCTTGTTAAGGTCGAGCAATAATTGCGGACAATTGCTGAGGTCTTGGCACTTCCCGGGTCCACCCTCGGCCGTCGTGCACGCGGACGGAGCAGACTCCTTGTCTCTATTCGCTAGTTCCTCTATAGCCTGTTGCTGTTGCTGTTGTGGTTGCTGTTGCTGCTGATTCAATGGTGCCTGTGTCGTGGAAGATACGATCGTTTGTCTCAATGGTAACGCAACCCCGCGCACCAAGGGCGCTATGCTGTCCGTTACGTTACGGCCTGAAGAAAATGTATTAAGTTAATAAATTCGTTTGCTAATTTAATATATTATGATTTTATATATTGATTTTTTTCCCATATTACCCAAAATATTCTTGGAAATGGTGTACAACGCCGAGGGCAGCTCCTTCGGCGGATAATTCGAGATTTCAACACCCCTCGTCATGTTGACGATGTAATTGCCTACGGTATTGAGAGCGCCCAGGGTCTCGCTGATGGTTGCCAAAGGGTCGTTCTGCTCGTGCTCCACCTTCACCAGATGCGTGTACGGACGCACCTGCGTGTCCCTGCGATACACTGGCCTGTCCGATCTGCTCGGTCCGGCGTCCCAGGACTGCAGCCACCCCCTCGTCGGCGAGACGTACGAGTTTCTGTATCCGTACGCTGCGCCAATTTTTATCTCGTGTAAGTCGATGGTGGATCGCGGATTGTTAAAAAGATAAATTAAGAAACTTAAGGAGCAAAAATTACTCACGATAAGTGCGATAATGCACGACTTCCTCAGTGTACGAAATGGAACCAGTAAATAGACTCCATATTACGCACAGATCTGAAATGCGGATTATCATGTAAATCGTAAATAATTAAATTATATATAATGCATTTATATCAAGTATGTATTGCATTGATACAAATTAATAAAAAAAAAAAAAAAAAAAAAAAGAAATGCCAAATATTAAATGCCTATAATGTTACGGACGCTCGAAATAATCTCGATGTTTATTCGTGATAATTACGAAGTCATTCGTGATCGTCCGTCATCGGAAATACCGCTGGCGTAACGCACGCGTTGTCCATAATAAACAAACGCGTTTCGCATTATGCAACGTGAAAACGCATGCTGGGACACTCTTGGACTTTCCAATCTTCCTGGAATTTCTTGAAACCTGGGAAGGTCGAATACACGGATGTGACGCACTGATCTGCGTCATTTGGTTCTCGAGATGAAACGTACGAGAGGAAACGTGTCGACGAGACTTTCTCTCTAAAATAAAGGAGCCGGGATATTTATAAAAATGTGCATCTTAATGCGGGCAGATGTGCCTGTTTTTATTACTATAAAAAGTGTAAACGCGCTAAATAAATGTGAGAATTGAACGTCTAATGACGAACGGGAGAAATTTTACCGACAATGACAGTGCCGACCCTCGCGAGCGTCTCTAATTAATATCATAATTGCACGTCGAGATCCTCGAATTCGTAATGCCATTTCATCTCGACCTTGTTTTGTATGCCAGTCGTTCCTGTTGAATTAGGAGAAATTAAGTCAAGCATGTTGAGCACCGTCAAATTAACCGGAACAGCGTTTAAACGAAGAAGAACGGCACCGAGCCGCCCTGGGGAATGTTTTTAAACAGTTCTGAGATCATCTTCTGATTCCTCGCGATTCCTTCGGATCTACTTCCGGTTTTTGAACTCAATTCGCCAGCGTGACGCAAAAAAAAAAAAATTCGAAGAGTCTACCTCTGCATCAACTAGCAGCAACAAAAG